TGATATATAAATCATCAAAGAATTAAAGGTAAATACAGTGTTCGAATAAAGGACATAATAATACATCGTGTAGCACAGCTCTCAACGAATGTAGTCCTATAAACAAATGACAGCGAGAGGTCCTCCCGTCGGAGGAATTTTATTACACAATTTCTTTATTTCAGATGGGTCCACAACCCTGGTCTTTTGGTTTCTAAAAAGAGGGAATCTTAAATTGGAGCTGGTAGTCTTTAATTAGAGGGGTGTTTTATTGGATGGTGACCGTTTGGCAAACGGAAACACAGTAAGATAATGGGAAAAAACATACGGATAAGCAACAATTAAATTGAAAAACAGGTAACGGATACAATAATGTAGAAAACAGATAAGATAAAATGATGTATTTTTTTTCAATAATGGTAGTGGTGTTGGAGCCTCGACAGATGACGAATGACGGATGACTGAGATAAGGATATGAATATAATGATGCTGATGATGATTATGATGATGATGATAATAATAATAATAATAATAATAATAATAATAATAATGATAATAATGAAATTGACAGTGATGATAATAATGATAATGATAATGAGTATTACAGCAGCAGCAACTACGACGGGGCAAACCGAAGAAGAAAAAGAAGTGGTTCAACAACGGTGGCAACGACCGCGTCATATACGCGACGGTGAGAGCACTTATATCAGCACACACTTACTGTAGTTTTTTAGAACATTAGTGAAGTGTAAAAAAATTTAATTTAATTGATCGAAGATAGATGATCATGATGCCATTGCAATAATTTCAACGGGAGAAGTCAACAAACATAATTAAAACAGGAAACAGTAGATACGATAGTATTGTATGTCAAACTAGCTGCTCAGATCAAAGAGTATAAATAAATAAATTTATACTCTTTGCTCAGATATAAAAAGTAACAAACAATATATAAAAAAAAACCAGAAAGTACTAATCTCCAACTTGAGTAAGACTTGACTCAAATAGGCACATATTAACTACTGCTAAATTTAAATTGATAGACTGCAAAAATCGATGTTTTTATTGAAGACTTCATAGACTTGCAAAAATATTATAAATAAATATAAATAAAAATAAATAAATATAAATAAATATAAGTTTGGCGAGGTTTGGGTACTTTGTCAAAAAAAATGAATTGCGCCACCAGGGGTTGATCAACAATTCCTCTCAAAAATGGCCGCGAAAATAGGAGTGAAGTTCGTGTCAAAAAAAATCAGCAAAATACGATGGCAACCAGAAACATTTCAAAACGAAACAGATATTTTTGCTACTGGATCTTGGGATAATAATGTAGGTTCATGAACGCGGTTTCATTGTCCATATTTTATGGATAAAATGACCCCCGTAATCCTAGGCCCAAGTTCATACAGTACAGTATCACCCGTGATGATAGCATCCATCAGGAAACACTGGCACTACCCGGCAGATTTCACATACTGTACCAGAGTGTGCACAACTAGGCCTAGCGTATCTAGGACTTAGCCTAGACCTAAATGCCTATTCAGTTTGATTTATCTCATTTATGAATGGCATAAATTGGCATTGCCTGGCTAGACAATTACAATAATTACATTCAGCCATAATATTGAAGTAGCCTAGGCCCTAGCTAACCTAATTAAAGTTTAGTAGGTAGGCTAGGGCCTAGGCCTAGTAGGCCTATTTACTACTACTACTCAGTAGCCTAGTAGTAGTAGTAGTAGTAGTAGGCCTAGGTTAGTAAGGGTAGGGCCTAGACTTAGAGGCCAAATTTCTGATTTGGGTAATGATCACAAAAAAAATCAGATGCCTTATAAGTTATATTTTATATATTCCTAAAAAACAAAATGAGTGCTGTAAATTTGCAAATTTACTAATTTACTCAAATGACAAATGTGGTATATTGAACAACTTTCATTTCAATGTCATTGTGATTTTTGTATTTATTGATGTATTCACAGTACTTGTTTTTGTTAGTTATTATATTAATACATAGCCCATAGCAGGGCAGGCCTAACCTTGTCCTGATGCTTAATATAATAATTACTGTTCTCATGTTTGTAGGTAAATAAAATTGAAGTTTGGAGTATACCAAAGTTGTCACACACAGAAGAAGCAATAGAACCAGAACAGTTGTGTGGTTGTGACCATATTGGTGATGTGACTGAGCTTAAGGTACAAAGGCTACTTTCGTCAAATCATTGTATCTTATTATTTCAAAATTGCCTTTAAATTAAACTATTTATACTATAGTCTGTAATATTGTATTGTAAATGAGATAGTATAGTACTGTACAGTTTATTCTATGTTAATACTGAAGTAATTTGATATATTTGTAGTCTTCTCTATGTGAAACATATGGTTAACTTGTATTTGCAGTTTGTTGGTGCTAACAGGTTATTAGCATCTTCATCAACTGGAAGTGTTTCTATGTATCATCTACAGACAAGGTCAAATGTGAGTCTAAGTCTAAAGTATAAAATAATTCAATAATATTATATGTAATTCACACTTTATCTTTAATAGAATGCTTACAAAGTTGTTTATATTTTCTGCAAAGGATTTTGGTGAAAAAAAAAAATACATGCCAAATACTGTAAAAGAAAATTTCAGCCAAAATAAAAAAATATGAAAAATAATACTGTACTTGAAAAAGATTGACATAAAACATCTAACTATAGAGGGCAGCATAGCTATTTTAAAAATTTAATTTAGTTTCCCTCGCATAAACTAAGCCTCTTTATGAGGCTTAGGGAGTGGAGTTTTTAGTTGTGAGAAAAATTCCTGCTGTGACAGAAATTTAACACAGGATCCTGGGATCAGAAGGCAAGAATCTTAACAACTGAGCTATTCAACTCCACTCTGAAATACAAACTGACAGAATGTTCTTGCTACTGTGGTTAATACAGTATTACAAACCAGCACGCACCATAGGAACCCAAACAGTATGAATTTAATTTTAAATTAGCATAAATAAAAATGAATAGAAAATTGTTATATTACAATGAATATTATTAGTTTTTTTTACCTGATAGTTTTTTTTATTACGATATTAATTTAATTTGACTGCCCTGTAATATGAAGTTTAGTTTGTATCTAAACGATTGATGATGGAACTATCAATGCTTTGTAGACATTAGCAGTTGACCAGAGTTGGGAGAAGCTGCACACGCTGAGTGGAAAGGGCTGCACCTGTACAAGTGTTGTGGTAAACGGCAGCGATATTATAACAACGGGGGAAGATGGCAGCATCAAGGTACTGCGAATGGGTCAGCAGAAACCAGTAAGGTCAATGGGTAAGTACACAGTCTGCATACTCTAGCTTTAATCAATTCTATGAAAGGAAAAAGAATACTAAAAACTCATTTGCTATGTTTTTTGTTTTTTTTATTAATGAGTGATGAAATGATGAGTATTTTTATTTATTTCTTGATTGATAAATTTGATTTTTTTTTTTTCTTATGGATTTGATTGATGTTTTGCACTACATGACATGAAATTGTACTGAATAGTCAGTACGATCTCAAATGCTTGCGGGAAAAAAAATTCTCGTAAGTGATTTGGGTGGGAATCAAACCTTGCGCTTAGTGACTAGTGTTGAATCTAATCCCAAATTAGCAGCAAGTACTGAATTGCTATTTCAATTGGATTATGGATTATTGATCGATTATTCAATGATTGATCAATGGTTTGATTATTTATTATTTTTATTATTATTATTATTATCATTATTATTTGATTCTCAAGATGGTGCTGACAGTTGCTGCATCAATGCTGCTGTACAAGTCAAGAATCATGAGATAGTTACTACCAACAGTAGAGGGCAGTTGAAGCAATGGGACCTCAGACAACCTGACAACAAACCCGTCAGCATCTTTCTACTGTGAGTAGCGCCCTCTTATCTTTTCACATCCATACTGTATATTAGAACAAAGAACAAAGAATCCCTTTGGGTGCAAATCTTGTTAGCTTATTATTAATCTAGATGCGAGAATCATGAGGCTACCAAATTATCCTATCCTAAAAATATAAATTATATTTTTAGGGTATTGATATTAATAATTATTATTTCTCAAGCAATATCATGGAATGATTTCATATGATGAAAACACTATATAGTTTGTTTATTAACCAAACCGTAATTAATTTGAATTACGCAATCAGAAAATTTCTAATTTACACTCGTGTAACATTGCATTCTAGTACGGGAGAGCAGACAGGTCTTGTGTCTGTAGACAGGCATCCCAGTCAGGCCCATGTGGTTGCTGCAGGCGGAGAAGATGGCTTTCTGAACATATGGGATCTTCGCCAACAAAAGTATCCTGCCACATTATTCACAGCACATGATGGACCAGGTGGGTAGAGCTTAATTTGCAAAATGAATTGTGTTTATATTTTAATTTATATCGTTCCAAATCTCAACCAAGGATTTCAACTGTACCATTAACAGTCCTTGTTGCAACAGAAGACCCTCTTCCCCCCCCCCCTTGAATACATTCTGCATTAAGTGCACAACTGAGAATACTAAACTTAAGTAAAAGAGGTTGTAAATTGTGTATGATTGATTCTGTATCCAATGATCGACTAACCAACTAATGCAATTACAATTCTAATGAAAAATATAAAAAATATATTATTAATAATATAATTTTTTTTTTTTTTTGCAGTGTGGGACGTATGCTTTCATCAGCCAAGTCCGGATCACTTATTCACCTGTTCTAATGATGGATCTCTTCTCCACTGGGATAATTCATCTGCTAGTCTTCATTCCACCTCTATTCTTGCTTCTCACGGCATACCAGACCACCCACCTCAAACAGAACGTGCATCAGTGTCCTGCTCTTGGCTGTCTGGTGAAATAGGACAGCCAGACGTTCAAACAGACTCTCTGCTGCCCCCTAGCACAATGTCCATCAACAGTCTCGATATTCTTGGTCAGAATATTGTATGTGGAACTGACGGTGAATCAGTATACTTTCTTTACGGGATAAATACAAGATGAATTGTGAACCAAAATAAGGTGTTACGCAACACTGAAAATTTGTTTTGTCTTATTTCATAATGAATTAAATGGTCAATGAATCAGTACAGTTTATATATAGCATATCATGTGACTTAAAAGATGAAAACATTTGCAAAACTTTGTATTGAGAGTTCATTAAGTCAGAGTGCCAGAGTGTCCTGTGCCGACGCCAGCAGGGCGGCATTGTCTTAAGCCCAAACGTAGGCCGTGATTTTAACCCAAGAAAGCGTAATTAGAATGTCACACAATTGCCCTGCTTTTCAGTACTATGAACCAAAGAGTATAAAACTGTAAGAAGTCCAACTGCCCTGATTTTGTATGCAGCAAGGTATGCAGGAAATCGAATGTTAAAAGTACTGCCACGAAATAGGGGGCGTCCTACACATAATTTAGAAAATTGTACGCATTGCTTGATTCTTTTAAAGGCCACGCCCCTTTGTTGACGTACTTTTTGAGTTCCAACCAATCCCTTATTACTGCAAGAGGTTTTTACTCTTTGCTTGAACCTTCACCAGATTTTCTCACCTGGTCCTCAATGGCCTCTGTAGGAAATTATCAGTCCGTTTAAACAGGAGTACCATGTGATGTTTGCTGCAAGTCTCCATAAAATCGTGGCAGACTCGCACATGCAGGAAAAATCTTGAAAATAAGTTGTCAGTCGGAAGTCAGCTGGCGTTTGGTATCACCACGTGCAGTAAAATAATTAATGTCTCCTAGAAGTGGCTTCTTTCAAATGGGGACCCCTGGCTTATGCCCCTTGAAAGTGTATCCTAGAGCCGGTACAGGGTGTTTTATCATTGCATCATGTGTGTAATCAACTCCCGGGAGACCATGCAATTTAAAGAATTTAAGTAAATTGCTGATACATACTGTCAAACCCTGGAAGTATTAATACATCCATTCTCATCCATACCATAAACATTGTAGAGGCCTACCTATTAGGCCTACATAAAATTTATTTCTTATGAAAATGAATTGCTTAAAGAATGCTAATGCAGAACAAAAGAGAAATGTATAGAAAATTTGTAAGGCATTCCGATGGCGATCAACACATCAGGTAGGGCTAAATTCATTCGTATACAGTAATTATAAGTCATCTCCCATTTTAACAAAAAAATGTTTAAAATCTTGTCTGGGAATTCACAAAATCTTTCAATGAACGGCCACACACTCGATACGATGGTAACATCCTTTGTTCCTATGATTGAGTGGCGTTAACTAACGCACGTTCAGGCGGTTTAATGAACTAGTGCCCCCATCTCCAGGGGCCCAAATCTTTTAGGTGCCCCACCTCCTTATCAAAAATCTAATAAAGCAATTCATTGATAAAAATCTAGATTGATGGTATTTATCTTTATGTAATACTGCAGATTATAATTGAAAATTCTTACTAACTTTAAAATTATCTGTTATACATAGCCACTTGAATCGGGATGGATGGAAATTCAGTGAAACAAATCTACAGTATGCATGCATGAAAGCGTGCCCAATATAAATCGCCAACAAATATCGTTTGTCAGCCAAGGCTCACACTTTCAGGCCCAATCTGAAGTTTTTATGTGGAAACTCATACTTTTTCCAATAATTTACAATAAAAATTACAATTTCATCTGTGAAAATCTGCTTGAATTATTTAGTGTCTTCTAAAAGATTGCACGAACGACAATTATTATTTCATTATTGCAGCTCACTTGATGTCGGCCTTTATGTCTTCTCGTGGTGGCTGGAGTTTAGGCTTACTAATTTTCAAATTAAGACACTTTTCGAGTCTGATAGTGGCATTGCTCTAAACAAAAAAATCTGATCCTCAGGCCCCTCCATGGTTTAGCAGATGTGGGTGTTGAATCTCAAGCCAGCAACTTGGAAGCTGTCTCCATGACTCTGTCAACATCATCATCATCTCATCCTCAGTCCTTTAATCTTAGGGTAGGACCTCATTCACTGTCTTCTTTGGACTAAATAAATGAAATCCAAACAATGCGCAGCACCTCCCTCGTTCCCTCCAAAAAAAGAAGCGAAACCATCAGGGAGAAAAAGAAATGTATTTTCTACATATTAGTAGACTAACTACTCTGAAACCCTTAAATTGTCATTTTTCGGGGAACCACTTTCGAGACATCTTGAACGACGGCCGACCACGACCACCTCGAGCCACCTCAGCAAATTTCCCCCCCCCCTCTAATTTCAAACGCTTGAGCCGCCACTGCGCCCACCCTATCACAAAAAATGGACCCCTGAATTTTGGTGCTCTATTAGTATTAGCTATAACTTTATCACCTTGTAGATCTGTCGTCCATCTGCCTTCTATATTTGATTTGATATAAATCAATAATTGACTAGATCGAAACCGAATTCGACAACTTAAGTTTAATTAAAATCGTACCAGACAGTCTTTTATCCAAATTCAAAAGATAATAGATTAAGATTTAGTTTATTTTCTTTTGTAGATTTTAATGTACCGTACGATCCAACGGAAGAGCATTTTATTTTCATTGAGAGGGCTCTACATTACTGACAGAAAATTGAGATGATAATGTTTATCAACCAAACGCTTAATATATATATAGCCTGTTTCGTTTTCTTTCTTTTTTAAACAGTCATAGTTTTATATTGGTAACGTATTCCGGTCACCAATAGACTCCCAATTAATAATGTCCGATGGGAACAGATATATATACATCGATAGATTAATTTAGTAAAAGTACAATATTCAAGTACTGTAACGCATTAGTAGGCCTAATCAATGTTCAGTGCCCCGAAACTTGGACTAAGAATCAGGGGTGTTGTAGGACTTAAAATGGTGTTTGGTGTTTGTTTTGTGAATATCGAGAGGATAATGGTAGTGGGATGCAATAAAATGTAACAGAAACGAAGGTCATGGTAATTAAACATGAGGATACTCCAAGAAAAAACATTTGGAAAACGGGATCCCTGCAAAACTCCAAAGAGTGTAGAAAATGGAAGTTTCCCGAAGGCACGGAACCCCCTGGGTAGTGTTGTCACTCGATCGGCTCCCCTTTCGGATCCACCCAAAGTAATAATATTTTGAACTACAACAGATGGCAACTGGGGTACATGCACACAAATCTCCAGTTGGCGGAGATGGTGCAACCCCATACTGTGGTTTGGGCGCGATTTGCGTTTCATTGTAGTATTCAAACAAATCTTCACACACGCTCTCATCCGCCACGATTCATTAAAAAATGGCGGGATGTCTGTATAATATATACATTTTTATTAAAGTTATGTATTAGGCTTACTACATAATTTGTAGATCGAGTAATAACATACCGATATTATGCAATTGATGAACGACAGATTTCTTTTCATAAAACTGCACAAACTCAATCATGAACATTCTGGTACTGCAATTGGTTTAAAAGGCTGAGATTGCTAATGTGATAGCATATTGGAATGTTCATTGAATTATGTGGGACACAAATTAAGGCAGAACTATTCTAAGTAATAATAATAAATATAGGCAATATCAATAATAAACAACAACAATAACAATAAATTAACAATAAAAATAATGAGAACAATATTACTACAAACGTTTGTACAGTAATTATTAGTAAAACAGTGTAAACCTATCCCAGCGATGTCAACATTTCCAAAGATGTATTACATCACATTGCAACCTGAGTAAATTTCTTGCTATGGGCATGGAGCGAAAACGTCAGAGTTTAAATACAACACGCAATCGCCAAAGTTTAGGAATTCCAGCTAGCTTTAAAGTGGAATGCCATTTATCGTTGGTATAATTCCTATGCCTGGAAATTCAGATAATTTTGATTTTTGCAAATAATATCAAATTATGTTCACTTTTTTATTAAGGGGAGTGAAGGTCACACACATGTTTAGATTGAGCAAGTGAAGGATTTTCAGCGCGAAATTTGCCTACTAAAGTAACGTTACTTATAGACAGTGGCGTATCTAGTGGTGCGCGGAGGGGGGGGGGGCGCACACGCCACCCCAAAAATTACTCGCGCATCCCCCTCCCCAAAAACAAAATATCACCTAAAATCACGTTATTTTGCGAGTTAGCGCCCCTCAACTGATCATCGAGCTTTTCACTTCACTTTGTCTATCACCTTCCCCAGTACCCTAACCTCAAGACTTCTAGATACGCCACTGCTTATAAAAATATTTCGTCTGGTGGCAAAGCCTCTCTATATTTTGCTTTGTTGTCTACCAACAATGTGTCCATATGACATCGTGATAACTCAGGGTGTACAACAAAAATGAGAATCAACGGAGATCATGAACTGATTATACTGGTTTCGTATAATTTCATATTTAATACGATTAAAAAAAAGTCTCTTTTTTTCTCTTGAACACAACAAAATATGTATTATGCATTATAATAAGTTGGTTACCAATTTGCTCGTGCTAAATTGCGCATGCTCAATAACGTCGATCTTCGCCTTGTACTTTTCCAGTTGGCCGTAACATTCCAAACGTGTTTCGTTTGCTTTCTGCCATTTAAAAACAGTAAAAACCTCGGGTTAGTTCCTTGTGTACATTCCTTCTCTAATGGGCCTTCACTCGATCGTAACCTATGAAAAAAGCTACAACAAACGCGTTTAATCTCGATTTTTCCGCGTTTACGTTGCAGACAACAGAGAGTACGACTCCTTGTGTTCGCTGTATTACTTGAATATCATACATGCAAATATATAATTGATGTGCGACAAACACCCGTGATCGCATACTGCATTCCTACGGATTGACGCAGTCAACAACAACCATGTAAATCATCGAACACCGTATCAAACTCTCTGAATTTTCCAGACACAAATACGATCCACTTCTCGGTACAAATGTTTCTTCCAACAAATCCGTGTAATCAAAACCAGAATGAATCCTTGTTCGAATCTTGATTCTCTGCCATTGAGGTAGTTGCAGCTAGAAAAAAATCAATCATATTTGTTAAATTGATGATTATTTCTTGAAAATATGAAACATCACCTGGCGATTATCATTGTTCTGCTATAGTATTCGCTGTGTTATTATCAATATCAGTAATTATTGTTGTTACGATATTAGTGTATGATAACTATCGTAATGATGAGTACAAACTTATGCGCATATGCAAACGCGTCAAATGGCCTAAATAATTATCACAATTATCTGATTACATCTTTAACATCGTTGGTCGCTGGTTATTATCACAATCTCATCATTTTCATCACGTCATTATTACCGTCGTCACCAACATTAGGCCTCATTATAATTATTAAAATTGTTTAAAAATCAATTTGTACTGTACAGTACTGTATATGAACGGCGATAGAATGAAGTAGGCCATTGATATCGCAAAATTACTAGATTGTGGGTACCGATATTGTAATATAGACCTACACATAGGCCCCTAAACAAACACACACGATTTTATTAATGAGACAAGTTTAGAATGTGATTATATCAATTCCAAAATCATTCTCCGCAAACTTCCAAAATCGGAAAAGTGATTAATTGGCGACAAAAGTATGTAATGAAGCGAAGTGCGGTATTGGGCCGGCTTAGCTCATTAGCCCATGGGACAGCGCACGTACAAATTCTCAACACATTCATAAGATTCCACCAGCAATACGAAACGGTGCAATATAATTCCTTGTGTATATTATTTAATAGGATGCAAATTATAGCACGCTCGATTTGATATTCGTACATTCGCAAATCATGTTTGTTTTTTTATATAAAGAAATTTGAATTAATTGAATGTAGGCCTACATTTCTATGTATGACCTTCCGATAAATCATACTAATAACATTAAAAAAAATACAACTGAAGTATGCGACCTATATCAACTCTAAAGTGTAATTATTTCTCAAAGGTTTCCACAAGTATTTAATATTGTCAGCGTACGCGAGTGTCGACAGCAAATGAAAAATTAAATTTGTAGTGGTTCCCAACCTTCTTTTGGAATTCGTAGACCCCTCGCGGCATGTTAAAAGTCTTCACGGGACCCCCAAGTATAAATTTATTCATTATTGTCTATATTCCACCAATAGGATGATAAAATAGATAAAAGATAATTCGCCACGAAAGTACACCATCAAGGATATTTCATTCTTCATGATTAGCAGCACATAGTGAAATCGTTACCCCTATTTTCAACACAAGCTCAGTAAAGTAAGTTTTTGAACTGTTTTATATACAAAATCATAAGGTGATGTAGGCATATACTTTAAAAGAACAGTGATCACTCAAGTTTGCATTGATTGTAAAAGTATATAAATTAAAAGCTTTAAATGTCTAGTTGTATAATCCGAGCACCCCAGATTGTCAAATGAAACCATTCAAATTATATAGTCAATTTTTTTTTTATAAAAACGTGTCACGTTTTCATTATGAAATGTTTACCACAGCCCCAGGTTTGGAGCTACTGGTCTATAGCATACATAGAGTGTTGTACTTATGATGGGACGCTAAGTCGTTGGTCCCGTGTGCATAGTAGCACATGGTAGGGCCTAAATAATACTGCAATAATGATAATGAACACTTAAAATAAGAACAATGATAACAACGATAACGATTCTATTAAAATGATAAAAATATTACCTAAATTATAATAAACATTAATATGATAGGTGATGATGATGTATGATAATAGAATATTAGTAATACCCGTCTTTTTGATGAACAAAATATTGTGTTTTAGGCCAATAAATATTCTTTGCAAAGGACTATATGCTGATTTATATATTATTATGCTGATGATATTTATTTATAGACACTGCAAACAAGAACATGTGCATAAAACACGGCAATCTACAGCGCGTACGTACGTTCAGTGTAAGTGCGGGAAAAAGCGCATAGACTCTTAGTCTAGAGATAATGTACAAGCGAAATATCAAATTAAGACATTTGTTTTTTAGGAAGTAAATAATAGGGTTTGATCTCATGATGGATCATAAACGCAAACGTCATGAGCCTAGGGTTGGGATATCAACAACCTTAAAGTATCAGTTATCATGGGCGGATTCAAAAGTGCCCAGCCAAAACACAACCTGCACCCCCCCCCCCCAACAAAATAATGCTGTGCTGACTGGACGACGAAGACATAAATGATGATGATAACGAGAATGACGATGACATAGTAGTGGCAATGATAACAGTAACGTTGGCATGTGATGTGTCGATGCGTGGTGATGATTACTATTTTGGCTATTATTTTGTAGTCTGTTTTACCGGTTTTGTGATGTTGTTCTGTTAATATGAAATAAAATCCGGCCACATTATTTATACACACCATTGTCCAGCGCGTACGACGAATAGTCAGAGCTGTTAGGGTTTGTATAGGCAATCGACCAACCAGGATCGGACGGCTCGCATGGAGCTTGAAAGCTGGGTAATCGACTTGGTCTCACTGGAGGCTGGATCAACAACGATGAGTACCGTGGGTTGAACACTGCAGTGTTACTCGAAGAAACGCCATAACCGAGTTCAGTGATTGGTCGATGCGTGTACGCGCTCTGCGCTAGACTGTATTGCCAAACATCGGGGCGATTGGAGCTGGAACCGTTGCATGCATCTCCAAACATCATTTCTTGAATTGATGTGGGCAGGTCCGAATGGCCATTGTTTCGTCCCATATTGTAATAGTTACTGCTCCAAAAGGAAGGCGGGAAGGCACGTTGACTCATAAGAGAACCTGTTATTTTAAAAACAGAAAAAATAACTGATATAGAAACAATTTCAAAATGATATTGTAGTCAGACGGCTTCGCATATTCCGACATACCACTTAATTAAAACGATATTTTTTCATGAGAGCGAGCGAGCGCGCGTGTAATTACGAGGCTACGTGCTGTATCACATCAAATCACAGCCAACCAATGACAAATAGACAGAATGTTAGCCTAAAATCATCGGAAAATTCTACAGTATGTAATCCATTAGGCCTACATACGCAACTCGTAAAGCTCGTATCAGAACCAGGAGCTCAAAAAAATAAGACCGTAGTAAGCTTGTATCGGGAAATAAACAAACTCGTAGCAAACTCGCAAGTTGTCCGTAACTCCGCTCGTACGCGCCGAGAAAATTGCTAGTAAGGTGTATTAACTGCTTAAGCATCGCTGTGCTGCCATAAATTGTGATAGGCCTACTTGGTTAGAATGCTTGGAGGGGTGACCCACAGTTCAATGCCAACCATGACAGTATGTACATAAAAGCTGGAAATAGTTATTCGGCGACCGATTTGGAATATGTCTCAGCAGCTGCAACAAACAAACCAGTGATACAAAATGACTATTTCAAATCTCGCGTTATTAAAAGTGAGTAAACATAAAGAAAACATGACACAAGAACGAGCCATTTTCGTTTGAATTATTTTGATACATTTTCTTGAGGCATGGGTGCGAACTTTAGGCTCCCCGATTCGGCCGACCAATCAGCGTTGCTAAAAGCTATCGGCGATACCCTGTAGCGATTTCGTGGAAACAACGCTTTACAGGAGGTGAGAATCGTGAGTATTATGTAAACACAGGGCCTAAAATATCATGAACCGTCGTATAATTATGAAACTAAAAACATTATCTGTCGAATGCATAAGCGATCAACTTGATTCCTTGCGAATGTAGCAAATTTACGACGACAGTAAACATTCCTAGCGAGGTTTTGGATTATCGAAGCTTTGTGCCATATGAATTGACCCGTTAAGATGGGTAGAGAGGTCATTGACATATTGCAATCAATCAGTCTTATAGTTTCATCAAAAAGTAGTAGCAATTATTGACAAAGAACAAACATATAGAGATGCAACAAAAAACAAAAACCTGATCACCGACGAAAATTAGAAACATAATAAAAACAACATAGGCCTATACCATGCAAATTTAATATAAAAATAACTATCCTATACACAGATAGAATAATGTAATCCAATATGATTTTTCCATAAACACAAATTAACAATCCCTCATCACCCCCTTGCCCCTCACCATCAGGAATCTCTGTTGTTTCAAAAAACAAATAGTGTACTTTTATTTACCTTTATTGTTATTATTTCTATCGGCAATGATAGACTGTTTTCCTGTCGTCGTTGGTTCCACCACATCAGACGTGAAACTACTTGGCTGATTCAATGCCTTCGTGAAATGGTCATCAACAACTTTATTTGTGTCACCAGTAAAGTACGTGAAAATGACGCACTTAGCACTGACGTACTCCGCCTCTGGGAAAGAGTCTTTGTCACTACCTGACTCGGATTGGTCCTCCTCAACCTTGACAGAGGCCAAGGAATGACCAGCCTCATTATCATTACCAGAGTTCTGTAACGAAACATGATAATTATCTGACTGTATCACTGGTATTCGAGTCATTAAATTATCTGCATTAGATAGATCTAAAGCTTCCAATCCATTCATTTTAATTCAGACCCGCCTTTACCGTTGAATTCCTAACACAACCAGCATAGGTACTACTTGGAAACGGATATGCAAATGAGTTGAGCCGCACGTGTTATTTCTGCCAACTTGCAAATAAGGTACAGTATAATTATCACGTGCATCCTTATCACATAACATAGCCTGTTGATGGTTCTGTCATGTAGCAAGCAAACCATGCCAGTTATAAACTGCCACCCTGGATAGAAAGTCTAAACAACTAAAAATGTTAGGCGCTCATTTAAAGCCAGGCTTCAGAGGAAAAATCTTATTTTTTGATATGTTGTACAACTAAGGGGCGTAACCATACTTTTCAACGTTTCCCCCCACCCAGTTTTAAATATTCAAAAATCTGGATCTCATTAACCAAATATGTGAGCTAGTGTTTGAGGTCATCCGCGCAATTAAAAAACCATACAATATGGAACAAGGGTACGTGTCCCCTCCCGTCCTGTGTGCTGACAAATCTTCGATTAGACCTGGTCTTGTAATAATTTTATATTTGTCATTTTATTTATATAAATGCATACATATAAACAAATCGTATTCAGAAATTAGATGCCTTAAGTAAGCCTAACGATTGATTAATTAATGAATACCTTATTACGAGGATGCTGATAAAAGGGATGTCTCTGTAGTGGCTGGTACACAACGTCCATACAACTCATCCTGTGATGATCTGAAATATTTACATAAACTAAATACACATCTAACCGCTATAGATGAAATACGTAATAATCCACTGATACGTAATAATCCACTCTGTATCGCCTCATCAACAGATATCAGATAAACAAACCGATGGAACGTCAGGTTTCCACATATCAGAACTTTGATATCAAAATATCATGATAGGCGGTATAATGATGTGAGAAGTGAATCTTATTTTTATGATGACAATTACAAACATAAACTCTCTTCATCGTGTTTCAGAAGACGCTCTGTCTAATGGTCATGCTTGAAATACTGTAGAATAACCAAAGAATCATCCATAATGGTAGTTATTTTTTGGCGTTGCTGTCTTCCTCCTTAAATTCTGGTACTCTCCTCCTCTTTGAATATTCTTGAATTCGCGAAATAAAAATGATACAAATCCAAAAAGAGGATGGTTCGGAGGCAAGATCAATGGGCCTATTAAAATCGCTAACACGACGCAAATATTCCTCGCACTTATATAGAAAGGTACGCTGAGTTTATAAAATGTATAGAGCGTAGTTTCTTAAAGAGTTGTCTCTACGATGCATTTATAATTACCCCATTTCTAAGATCTAATAGCCGTTCATGTGTCTTGAGTAGCTCCCGAAAGCAAACTTAGTACACTGATCTATATGCAAAGAGTTCATTAGCCTATCACGGGAACTTAATGACTGAACAATGTTTTTCGGAACGCGTCGGTATGTCGTTTCTCGCGTTGGTAGGCCTATTTTCATCAAAACTCCGCCCACTTTATATCCAAAGTTGACATCGAATGACCACGGAATTGGAAGTCAGATTCTATTGAAGATAATAGACATCTCCTTTAAAGTTTCATGTCTTGCCCTTCTTCACAACATCAGACTGGAAGATCTTGCAATAATTTATAGATCACACTAATATTTAGAGCCTGTCTCTTATACACATCTAGATGTGTATAAGAGACAGCATCTTCAATCTCTAATGTTTACCACCCAATTAGTTACGACACCACCTACCCTCAGGTATGGTTCTCTCTATGTTCCACCTCTTCTTATAGGCTTTAAATCATTCTTTCAGATAGACCTAGTCATTATTTTAATTGTCCATGGAAAAATTAATGTTTTTTTGGAAAAATAGCAATTAGCATTTTTTTTCATGATGCTCAAAAATTTGATGAGGGAGGGGACGCGAAACTAGCAATTAATGCATTTGTCCTAACAGATAGAATAAACAAACGTAGGCCTATACATTATCGATGATACGACCGGCAGGGGTAGGTTCTATAATAATGACTCAAAACGGATGCTAATAAAGTGGCTGAGCCAGGATTTCTCCGACCGGGGTCGGGGTCGGGGGTCGTAGCCCCCCCCCCGAAAATATGACAAGTTAGGGGTTTCAAAGGCTTATTTAACCGATTTTAGAGTCTATTAATATGTACAAAATACATAGAATTTTTTTAAAATTTGTTTTTCTTCCCGACGAATTGTCGTTTTATCCCTGACCGGGGGGAGGCCTCCCAATCGGGGGAGGGGGGTGTAGCCCTGCCTAGTTCCCTCGCCCCCCCCCCCCCCCCCCCCCCCCCCCCCCCCCCCCCCCCCCCCCCCCCACGTAGCGCCGCCACTGATATAAAAGCGTTTTACTCAGACCAGAGGTGTGAACGGCTATGAGCTCTCACCGGCTAAAGCCAGATAACCGCCCGGAGCCTCAAGGGCCCCAGCAGATTCAAATATTCTTTTTTTAAACAAACAAATAACAAGGCCGGTTTCTAAGCCAAAGTTTGTGGTATTAATTGTAATATGTTTATTAGTAATATCTTAGTTAAAATTAAGCATACTCTTTTGGGTCAAATCACGATGCATAAACTTAGAATTCGAATGTGTAAAAAGGCATTAAATACGTCTTAGAACGCTAAAAACACCGGGGCCCTTCGCGCAGCCACCGGCCCCAGCATGGGCTCCTGAAGGGTCCCTGCCCAGGAGCCTCCTCCCCTTCATTACGCCACTGGCTCAGACGAATTGATCAACAGTCAAGGATCAAGTATTCATGATTACGTGGTAACATTTTAAAGAATGCGGAAATAACATGATCGGTCGGTGTAGTTGCAAGGTGCCACAAACCTACTTTTGGAAATATGGGCTAAAGAAGATTCATTAACTGTATTTTGGTGTACACGACGGTGAAACCCTAATAAATTAATACAGTATTATTTACACCCCTTTAAAACAATCATACTAAAATAAACTCAATTTTTCCTACGCCTGTTTATTATTATCTGACACAATTATACCCATTAGTGCGGTGATTACACCAAATACGGAAGTGTGCATTATGATAGGCCAATGGGCAGTTTTTAATTGGACCTTTGATTTATCACTTTTTCCCCCATACCCATTTAATTCCTAAAATAATGAAGATAAATTCACAAGTCGAAAGACAAATTGAACTAAATGGAAACAGCATACTTTCAATCTATCTTTCATAGCAAACAATATTATTTCCACACGTGCTGGCTGGACTTGTTAACACCTTGTTAGGCGAATAAATGAAATTCTATTTTTGGCTCGTTAGCGACAGTGGCGGAGATAGGGGAGAGCAAGGTGGGTGGAAATTTCTCTTTAATAGACGTACTAATGTCTATAAAGTTGGTCCGATCATAATGATGGCATTTATACTATATGTAATTCTGATTCTATTGAAGATAATAGACATCTCCTTTAAAGTTTCATGTCTTGCCCTTCTTCACAACATCAGACTGGAAGATCTTGCAATAATTTATAGATCACACTAATATTTAGAGCCAATTATAATTTAACTATTGACCAGAAATTAATGTATGTTCTTCGTTAATATCCACTTGATCTTCCTCAACAAATTGAAAAAAAAAAATTTGACATATTGTAAAAGTTATGCTACAATGGAATGGAAAAGAGAAATTAAATAAAAAAAAACATTTTTAAATTCAGTCTTGTATTACTTTATAATGCTTTACTATATATTTCTTTTATTATATATTTGTGTATGTGTGTAGGTGTATGAAGTGTCATGTATTAATATAAACTTACAGATTTACAGTATGTAATGTTTTTTTTTTATGTTTATGCTCATGTGCATTATTTATGTGTACAGTATAGGCATTTGTGTATACTTTCTTCAGCAATACGTTTTTTAGTTTGAGATGACACTGTAATTCCCCCTACTGAGTTCGCCCCTGCAAATAAATTATTATACAGTATATACTATGGAAGACGATGTATGTTTACACCACTTTTTTCAATCTCAAACTCAGTTTTTAGATTCAATTTTTTTTCAATTCAATATAAAGTTTATTTCCACATCATCAATACAAAATACATAGACGGAGAAATACATAGACGGAGAAATACATAGACGGAGAAATACATAGACGGAGAAATACATAGACGGAGAAATACATAAGAAAAAAAACAATAATTGATAAGAATGTAAGCCCATCAGAACATTTGAATAAAGTGGAAAAAGGGTCGCCTAATGTGAATAAATCTGGTTATCTCAATGTCAAATATAGGGAAATAAATTCTTAAATTAATCAATAAATGACCCTCGAATATCTTCATCAACATCCACACCCCCTCAAATCCCTATTTTCAGCAACAAACACTATTACAGATGATGGTATTTTTGCCTATCTCAAATATATCCTTAAATCACTCATTAAATTAACGAAGAACATTTCACCCTCACTCATACTGAAATCCACACTTTAAATAACAAACACTTATAACAAAATTCACAGTACTTTTGCATTTATTTGTACAAAATGAGAAAACATTCCAAATTCTATAGCTATATTGGCAAAAATTCAGCCATTTGCTGAACAAGTGTCCAAGATAAATTATGTAAAAAAAAAATTAAATGTGAATCTGTTAGGAATTTCCTTATTGATGCCTTTAATTACAGTACCTAATTATTGACATGAATTTAGACACTCAAACCAAATTTAGAACCAGTTAAAATAAATGTTAAGATGAGAAAAGTTACTGTCATATTCTAAGTAACTGCAGTAGTAGGCAACTCATTCTCTTGTTTATCGTCTTGAGCTGAGTCTTTGTTATTCGTGTTGCTAGGCAACTCATCATCTTTTTGGAGGAATTCATCCCATTTCTGTAATCGCGTTTCTCTCTCGGTTTCTGTTTCTTCAATCTTGTAGTCGGTGTTGCCATCCCATTGACTGACAGACAGCTGTCGTTTTGCAAACCACCTATAAAATTTGAAAGGAATGTAAAGCCATCATGAACACAATTTCGCTCATTTTTTCTTTTTAACACTATGGGTTTGTTCACACACATCAGCTAATTATTAGCAGGATCCAGATAAATAACATACACACTAACCCTTGTGTTCACACAAGAAAATCCCCAATCTAGATATCAAGAAGATGACGGTGGGATCACTAGCCAAAAGGAAACTAGAAATTGGATGCGTACATGTGATTGGTTTTACTGTTAGCGTATCTACAGTAGATCTTGGTAATGGTTAGCGCTAACCGATCGGGCATTCTCACACGAGTGCTAACAGTTAGTGCTACCGGTTAGCTCCTGATCCGGATACTAGGGCTCTAGTGTGAACCTAACCTATAGGTCTAAATCTGTAAAAACTAGTATGCCTAGCACAGAGCAGGGAAGGGGATTTTTTTTTTAAACTGCTGGGCTATAGGCATTTGCGCATGAATTTAAATCGAAAATAAGCTTGCTTTGGAGCCTATTTCTTCTTTCTTTTCTTCTTTCTTTCTTTTCTTACACTTTTTATTTCCCACCGCTCCCCTCCACACACTGGATTTCCTCTGGGGTGAGAGTTTAAAGGTGGCTGGAAAAATTAGGCAAAAGAATAAATACTACAAAATAGGCAATTTAAAAACTAACCTGCCATTTAATGCCAAGATACATCTGTCAGCATCTTCTGCATTTGAGAACTTGACAGACGCAACACCCTCTGCATGCCGCTGAAAAAAAAAACATCATCATCAATTATAATTGCTGTGAAGCAGCCAATTCATATTCTTGACAGCAATTTGACCTCTGAAAGGTCATTGTTTGTCAAAAAACAAGGGCCTAAGACGACTGAAAAGCGGAGTTTCCTTCTTTCGTTCTGCCGGTAAAATCAATTACTTTAGGCGGCGTTTGTAGACTAACCTACACATACCAACGTCCGCATGTGGCGACGCTCAAGTATTACTATTCAGCGTTTTTACTGTATTTTTAGGTTTACTATTTCTACGTTTAATCGGCCCATGTCTAAGCCACAATATTTTGAGGCCAATATTATTTACGAACCCAGTTAAACTTATTTACTAGCCTATTTCAGCGTGCTAATTATTACATTTAGGCGACGCTTGTTGTAGA